ACAACTTGGACCAGGGAAGCCCAATGAGGTCATTTCATGTTTTGGGTGAAGCCAACCCGAAGGTTCAACCACAGATCTGTGCCTTGGCTTTAGGGAAAGAGAGTGGTACAACATTGCGTGTTGCAATGTTCGGGGAGTGTCACTGTCATTCAAAAATGAAAGCAGTTTAAAACAGAAGGAAAAAAAGGAAGAAACTGTTGAGTTCTTGTGCTAGCTATTCAACTCCAGAGCCTTTTCTCTCCTTTCCTACAACCAGGGGTTTCTATTCCTCCTTTAGGTTCAAAGGTACGGCCCTTTATTTCTAGACAGAATCCAAGTTCCAGATCACTGCTCTTTGCCAGCAAGGGGGGATTTAATTAAATATATGAACAATCTGAGCCAGGCAGTGGTGGCGCACGCCTTTAATCCCAGCACTTGGGAGGCAGAGGCAGGAGGATCTCTGTGAGTTCAAGGACAGCCTGGAGAGTTAATTCCAGGACAGGCTCCAAAGCTACAGAGAAACCCTGTCTCAAAAAACTATATATATACACACACACACACACACATACATACAATCTGTAGTAGTGTAGCCTTACCTAACATGTGCAAGATTCTGCGTTTAACCCCCAGTACTGCCAGGAAGGAGGGGGAGGGGGGAGAGGGAGGAAAAGGGACAATAAACACCCTCAATGAATATGCAAACCAGCAGCTTTTCTCGCATTATTTTGCATGACTCCCAACACGGACCCAGTGCTTCAGCTAGGCATTCTCCTGTCCCTGTGTGTCATACATAAGTTGACCCCAATGTCTTTGTTTGTGTACTTTCCTCCTGAGATGTCCTTTCTCTCCCTACCTAACAGATCAAATATCCGTTCTTAAGTCCAGGTCACGATCACCTTCCTTCATGAAGCTTCTCTGGATCTTTCCTGCCTCCCACAAGATCCAGTACCACGCAGCACTAAGATGTCAGCCGTGAGGGGTTTCTGGTTGTGCTAGTCTGAAGACCCTTCTCCTGTAGTACTTTGCCTTGCTCTTTTCTCCTGATGTCAAACATTAAACTCAAGCCATTAGGGATCCTGAAGTGAATGAAAGGTCTCAGGATCAAGGGTCCTTCACGTTTATGTTTCTCAAATTCCTAGCGGGGTAACTATCGTTTGAGCTGCAACAGGTCAGGGGCCTGGGGGACAAGAATATATATTTCTAGCAAGATGTCAGGTGCTGAAGAGGTGACCAGCCCAGATTTTGAGTAGCAAGACTTTGCATTGATTTCCAGCAGCAACATCATTAGTGGTCTGGTAGTGAATTTAATGGTTGATATAAATATTTGTTCAAAATAAATATTAAAAATACAGAAGTAAATAGAATATAAAATGATAATTTTTTCTTGTAACATTTCATTTTTGAATTGCTTTATTTTGTTTTTTTGTTGTTGTTGTTGTTTGTGTGTTTGTTTTGAGAGGGTTTTGTTGTGTAGCTCTGGCTGTCCTAGAACTCACAGAGCTCCATCTGGTGTGGGTGTTCTCTTAACATACACACACAGGTGTGTGTGTGCGTGTGTGTGCATGAGTATTTGTGAGTGTGCATGCATGCAATGACACATACCATGTGTTATTTCAAAAGTTTTCAAGTCTGTTCTTCAAAGGACAGAGCATAAATGAGACATAAACTTAGACCAGCAAACTAAAATACTAAAATCCAAAGGACACAGTCCCTTAGTGTTTGCAGCATGCTGGAGCAGCTTCCCCAAAGGGTCTAGCCTGAAAGGCACTGGGATTAAGGCAGCGGGGCTGAATTGGAAGCGAGCTTACTGGATCCAGCCTGCCTGTGTTCTCTGTGGTTGAATTTATTTCCTGCACCTCACTGAGAGGCAGCTATGAAAACTATTTAGTGGGTGGGTGTTTCCTAATTTGCTGCTGCAGCCGGGAAGAGATAACACCACTGTTTCCTCCAAGGTCAACTGCTAGTTTTGATATTCTTACAAACCCAGGCAAAACGTGCTGTTCAAGTCTGATAGTCTACGTTCTGTTAATGCCACAAACCTTGAGACGCAACTGTGCTCTCGTGTAGGGATAAAAGGTGACTTATAGCACATTGCTTCTAAAACACAGTTACCAGTAGTAATGTCTTGACTTTGTTTCTCTACAGAAAGTAAGACCAAAAGACTTGAAGTAGGAAAATAAGCGTTATTCTAAACTGCATAGCCAATACTACCAGTGGCTAGGAGAATGTCTGGCATATTAGTGGTATATAATTTAGTAAAGTTTGCAGCTTGTTCTTTTTTGCAAAAGTTAGGGAACTGGGAAAATGTATACTAGAAGGTAACATCTCAAAACATGAAAATAAGGTTTCCTCTCTGGATATTGTGACTCTTGATATCGTCATCTTGACACGTGACAACCTGAAGTTTCTGCTGGCGGGGGACCACGTGGTTCCTAAGCTAAAGCGTTCGGAGCAGCTGGAGCCACTGAAGAAGAGATTCCAGCAAAAGCATGACCTCCTCTCCCAGCATTGCTTGCTCTGTTCCCCATGTGCTTGGGTCTAAGATGGATGGATGCTCTCATTAGCTCATGTCTTCTCTTAGCATTGCCCGCTAGTCACCTGGTTCCTTACTGCACTTCATTCTAAAAGTATCAGTCTTACAAAGGTGCGGGGAGAAATGACATTGGGGAGCTTTTTCCCCCCAGCAGGCTCTGTGTGAGCTCCCTCATGCAATTCCAGAGAGCCCTTGTGTGGCCCCCATGGCAAGACCAGACAGACATGGTGCCACTCTGTTTGGCACATCAGAACTTAACTTTTAGATAGAATGCAAAATGCAAAACTTAAAAGGTCCTCAGAGGGGATGAGGACTCTGGGTAGCAAAGGAAACAAGAGCCTGTGATAAAAAGGGAAGGGTAAAGGTGATGGATGGACAGACAGAGAAGGGATACATCCCGGGTGCTTTCACCTTGTGTAATTCCACCTATGAGAGGGTTCTGCTGAAGAAAGGGCCACTAGCAACTGTAGGGTCAGGAAACGGGCGAGTGCGAGACATAGGGAGCAACTTCCTTCCACAGTCTCATGGTTACTCTTCACTGCCCAGGCTGACGCTTCGTGCACCGCCACATCACCACGGATGCCCATGCTGTTAGCAAAACGATGTTCCTTCAGATGCCTCCCTAACACCGTTTATCTCATCATGCCGGTATTATCTGAAGGACTGGCCGTCTCTGCCTCACCGTCACCAGCACCCTGGGACTGGAGGTCCCTGCAGTTGGCAGCTACCACTCGTACCGCTTGTACCTAGCTTTCCATTATCTGAAATAAATGGAAATGATACAAATTAGGATAAGGAAAGGTCACCACAGCAGAGGAGAATTTGCTAGGTACAGCTGAGTGACTCTCGCCGCTTCGTGACAGTGACTAACCTACTGAGTACTGACGTAGCTCACTGGTGTGAACATGAGCAGTTCTCACCACTGGCCTGTGATATACAGCTGCCCTTACTCTGATTTTGAATATAACGGAGCTGAGGTTCAGGCAGGTGAAACAAATTGCCTAAAGTCTTGCTTTGAGAGAAAGGTGGCGCCAGGGTCACTACCCCAGTTGCCACTCCCACAATGCCACAATGATGTACTTAAAGACTAAGTGAAGGACCTGTCACTAGGATAAAGGTCCAAGGTGCAGGTCCGTGGCCTAGAGATTCTTTATCCTTGTAGAATTAGGGGTCTGTGATTGAAGCCAGAATTAAATGCTAGCTGAATTCATGCATGGGCACATGAGACACAGGTCTGTGGTAAACTGTCTCCTGCAGAAAGAAACAGGGAAACTGAGGCTCAAGGATAAGAAAAGGGCTTTTGTTAACTGTCTTCTTTTCACCACATATATGCTTTACCTTTTCTAAACCACAAAGATCAATTGAAAACACAGGCCCATGAAAAGATCAATTTAAATCTCCTTGGGACTTTCCCAATTCCTCAGATATTCGTCAACTTGAAACAGTGTTTGGCTTGACAGGCCAATGTTCACTATGAACATCGGGGTTCTTTGTGCCCAGCCTCATTTTCCTCGTGACCATGGGCTGTAGGGCAGTTTGGTTTCCTCCTCATAAAACTGTCCTGCGCTTGGGAAAGAGTGACAGAGAACAGAAGAGAGAGAAACTGGTCAATGGCTTTTGCAGCTGTTTTGTTTTTATTTCTTTTTCTTTTTCCATTGTCATGCTTGTGTGTATGTACACATGCTTGCGTGTGTGTGGACACGTGTATGTTACGGAGGAGTGATGTGATTGTGAAGGGTTAGTTGATGTTGGGACTCCTTCTCCAAAACTCTTCCACCTTACCCGCTGAGGCGACGTCTCTCAATCAAACTCAGAGCTTGTGGGTAGGACTAGTCTTGGGAGCAAACTTGCTCTGGAGATCCCCTTTCTCTGTCTTCCCAGGGTGTAATGACAGGCACACTGGTCCATCGCCCCGGCCTCTGCTATAGCTGCCTTAGCTTGGGCTCTTTAAACACTATTGGTCTACTGGGCCACCTCACAAACTGGGTGGTTTGACGAAGAATAATCTTCTCTTTCACAGCTTTGAGGGCTAGAAGTTCAAAACCGAGGCATCTCTGAGGTCAGCTCCTTCAGAAGGTTGTGAGGAAGACCTAGTTTGGGGTCTCCCACTCTCTAGCTGCCATCTTGGTCACACAGCATTCTCCTACATGGAAATCTCTCCTCAGCTTTCCCGTTTTACAGGATTCCAATCACACTAGATTGAGCCCATCAGACTCGCCTCCTTTTCACTTCTCTCCAAATAAGGTCACATTCTTAGGAACTGGAGGTCAGGATGATGTGGGAACTGTCAGAACATAACGGGCCTATATCACCTCTTCTTTCCCTCACACTCATCCAGGGGCTTCCTTGTCCTTGTGCTGGGATTGACAGGTTGGCCTCTGACATCCTTAAGATGGAAAATATTGCTAGTTAGTCTTTGAGAGGAAACTCCAGAGAAGGATCGCCCATGGCTCATCCCGAAGGAAAGTGCTCTTCTGTTTTTTTGTAGGTGGTATCATGGCAACCTCACACGCCATGCAGCTGAGGCGCTTCTCCTCTCCAATGGACGTGATGGTAGCTACCTACTAAGGGACAGCAATGAGCAGACCGGACTCTATTCTCTCTCCGTGAGGTAGGTGCTTTAGGACTTGGTAGATTTCAATCCCATCGTCGATTGTTCGCTTTACAGCACTCAGACTGCCAGACGGTAAACGCTCCCTGATTCCTGCTGAGTCATCAGATTAAAGGATTTCAAACTTGGAATAGTAAGACTGTGAAGAAATCTTCTCAGGCCTGGAGAGATGGATCGATGGCCGAGAACATTGGGCTCTTGGAAAGGACCCAAGCTCAGTTCCTGGCCAGTCAGTTCACAATAGCCTGTAACTCAAGCTTCAAGAAGATCTCATAGATCTACATGGGCACTTGCACTTACAGGAACACACACACACACACACACACACAGAGGTACATACACATCTTTCTTGTTCCATTCACTAGCAGGAAAAATGTGTCAAAACCAAAAGAGACTTTGGAAATTATTTAATCTTAACCTGTCACTGGACACATGAAGACCTGAAACCCAAAGCGGTGGGCTGTCTGGCTTTATTCAATCAGCAATGAAAACAACATTGTCATCTGAGTTCCTGGACTCAGCTCCTTTTTGCTATTCCTTTCTTACCTGAGGAAGCCAAAATGATTTGTAACCCTGAGTTTTCATAGTCACAGACTGAAGTAGACAATGTACAACTTGACATTTTTTCAAAGTTTCCCCACGTGGTGAGTTAATCTAGCGCCTCTGAGTTGCACCTGGCTTGTAGCCCTCAGCCCCTCCCTGGCATCCTGGGGTCTAGTGGTAAGCAGTGAGTTTCCTTGGGTTCTTGTCATTTCAACTGGACATGTAAAGGTTCTACACGTTTTCCACTAATGATGGCCATTGTACAACTGTGGCAGCACCTCCACAAATCCAGGAGCGCTTGGAAGTCATGCAGTCCCTTCCCAGTGCATTCCCTCAAGCCAGTATGGTCCTCTGTGGTCCCCCTACATCCCCCTGCGTCCCCCCTTCCTGTGGGACCCTGGCTGTACCCCTGCTGCTGTTTGCATCTCCTTTCCATCTAGTGAAGCAATTGGTTTATTTGGTGTGAGGTTTTGTTTTTAATCCCCTCATCTCTCTCTCTCTCTCTCCGTCTCCCTCTCTTCCTCCATTCTCTCTGATTGGGAGCAAATTGAAAACTGGATAAGAAAATAAGAAAGTATTTCTCAGACTGGGGGAGACAGCTTAGTTGGTAAAGTGCATTCTTTGAAAGCACAAGAATCTGAGTTTGGGTCCCAAGACCGAAAAGAAAGGAATGGGGGGGAGGGAATCACGAAATCAGCAATGGTAGTATATATTGTCAATCCTCTTGCTGTGGAAACAGATACTGCTTACTGGATAGCCAGCCTAGTCTACTTCGTGAGTGAGTTCAAGGCCAGAGGTGACTGGTGTCTGGGACAAAAACCAAGGCTGGCCTCTGACCTCCACAGTCACATACAAGTACACATGTATGCAGGTGAATATTCATGCATGCACGCACACACACACACACACACACACAAACCCAAAAATTATTTCCCTAAACATGACAAATGACCAGAAAATGTAACAGCTTCCAACAACACAAACTGATCATACCACTCTCTCTCCATGTGTTCAAGTCCAGGCCGAGCATGGGTGGGTTCTCTATTTAAATTCTACCAGCCTGAAATAAGGCTGCCAGCTGCAGCTGGGGCTCCTCTCTGGAACTCAGCATCTCACTGTTAACTTCCTCCTTGCCTTTTATGCTTTGCTTTCATTTCCCTGCTGTGGTGTGGCTGGGGCCCTGTTCTCCTAGCTGCCTTTCAAGGACCAGCATGGACCAACAGATGCCACTTTAGGTCATGCTATGTGGCCTGCGTGATGTTCTCAGCATGGATGTGTGCTGCCTTCCTGGCAGCCCGAGCTCATCTCTCTGATGTCCACTTCTGGGGACAGAGAGGGTTCTCTTTCGTGGGGCTCATGTGAAGAGATCAGGCCCACACAGGGAATCTTCCTATTTTAAGATGAACCAATTTAAAGATTTAACGAACCGTGAAATCTCTTCACCACTCCATCTAGATTAGTTTTTACCTGGATAATTGGAACAGGGATATACGCTCCATGGGATTAGGCTTGGGGCATCTATGAATGCTCCCTGCCAAGCCTTCCATTCCCTAGCAGTGAGTCTACGTGCCTCTTAGAAGAGGGGAGAGAGAGATAGGTAGAAAGTGAGGGATAATCCAGGCAACGAAAGGGGAGGTATATCTACTAATATTTTGATGTTACCCTAGCAAGTTTTATTTCTACATTCTCTAAGTAACAGGACTAGGGGCTAAGGTAATAGCTCATTCAGTAGTTAAGTCTATGCAAGAAAAAATAAGAATAGCTTGAGTTTGACTCCCAGCACCCACATAAAAACTGAGCATGTTAGTATGTAATCCCAGAACTAGGGAGGAGGACACAGAAGTATCCCCGGGGCTCATTGGCCATAGCCAGCCTTGCTGAGTCCATGAATTCCAGGTTCAGTGAAAAACCTTGTCTCAAAAATTCCAGGTAGAAGACTCTTGAGAAATGACCCCTGAGGTTAACCCCGGGCTTCCACAAACGTGCACACATGTGCTTATGCACACACGAGAACACATGTATATCATCACAAAGAGAAAATAAAGAATTAGGATGCAAAAACTACCAGTCCAAGATGGAATCCTGTTTTAGTGGGGAAAAGTTCTTGCTTTCTCTTGACAGTGAAGGTGAGTATAAGACAGGGAGACCGCTTGTTAGGGTGCTGTAGCGCACGGTTCTCCCAAATATCTCAAATAAACATATAGATTGGGTAATTAACATATAATTATTGGATAACAGCTATAATTAATGTTTTATGTGTGTGGTTCATCTAATCATAAGCGGTTTATAAACAGATTGCATGCATTTCATCTTCCTGAACAATTAAAATATAAGCCGTTGGTTTTCATTACAAATACTTGGTAACACTTAGGGGGGGAAAGCTACCAGCAGAGGTGACAGACTCCATAGGCCAGTTGTTGAAAGGTATGATTATTTTTTACTCGTCTGTTTGTTCGATCCCTTGATGATAGATATTTGAAAGCATGCATTCTGTACCAGCCGTCTTAATTCAGAGACCGTGTTGGTAAGAAGTACAGACTCACAGCACCCATAAACCCCAAATCTTGTTACAGAAGAGAATGCAGGAATAACATCAAAGAAGGAAGCACAGTGTTTGGGTGATAGAGAAGTAAAATGGCACTCAATGTGAGCCAGAATTATCGTGTGATTCTCAGTGAGAAAGTGGAAAACTCAATGGGTAGCAAGAGTTTCTACCAGCAGAGACCAAGGGGAAGGTGAAAGCGACATTGGATGTAAGGAGCAGAGGTGGAAATAACTCCTAGAAGAGCAGCAGGTCTAGATGGACAGGGTCCTGAAGCTGACCACTGACAGAGCATCCACTGACAGCCCCTTAGAACCTAAATTCGGAAGGAGGGCCTACATTCCACCTGTCGAGTCTTTGTCTGGGGGTTTGAGCAAACCTTACAGTAGATTCTGATGCATTCCAAAGTTGGGGTGTGGATGATACAGTGAGGGTGGGGCTAGGAAGACAAAATGGGGACCAATAAAGTGAGGGGGGGAGAGAGTTTATGTACTACTTTTTATTTCAAAAATGATGTCAACAATGACAGCCTTAGAAATGTGACATTTTATTCAGTAGACAGTCTCAGAGGCAAGGGAGGAGAAGACAGGGGCGTATACCTCCCTGACAGAAGTGGACTGCTGACTGACTCCCAGACAAGGGAGTGCCAAGGACAAACACGTCATTCCTGTCACCCCTGTCTTCCTGAATTTATGCTTTATGGACATTAATGTTCAAGAACCCTTGTGGTCAGTCCAAAAGGAGATGGGAGACCATCTCCTCCCTTCTGGGGGAGTGAAAAGCTAAGAGTATTCTCTGCCAGAAGAAGACAGCCTTAAACCTCTTAGTGATTCAGATGGCTTTGTGTTCGCGTTCTCAAAGGCTTTTGGTGCTCACTGTTTGCCTTCAAAAAGACTCGTTATTTGTTAAATAACATTAAGCACTTTTGTTTTCTTTCAGAGGCAAAGACTCTGTCAAACACTTTCACGTCGAATACACTGGGTACTCGTTTAAATTTGGCTTTAATGAATATTCAACTTTAAAGGATTTTGTCAAGCATTTTGCAAACCAGCCTTTGATTGGAAGCGAGACAGGTAAGCCATCTTTGTCCAGTTGTTGTTGCTATAAACAAATACCTGGGGTGTGCGATTTCTTAAGAAGGGCATTATAGTGCTTATCTCTGCATGAGAATTTGCTCAAAATCCAGTGATTTCTGCTGGGGCTAAGAACATTGCACAATGAGAGACAGGGGCTGTTTACATCAAAGACCAAGCCCGCACCACAGCCCAAGGTTGCCTGGAACTTTTGATCCTTCTGCCTCACTCAGCCTCACAAGTGCTAGAATTATACACACATCCTGCCACTCCAGGCTCAAGTCAGCATCGATAACAAACCCGTCCTTGGTACAGTCCATTAGCCCATTAATCCGTTAATGATAGACTGATATTTCATGGTTGGGACTAAGCCCAAATCACCTCTTAAAGTTTGATCTGGTCCTCCTGTTTAAATATAATGACAATTAAACCTAGCATTAGTTTTAAAGGAAACAAATTGTCTTCAAGGCATAGTATAAACTGTAGACTTCACCTCTGAAATACTGTTCCAGGAAGAAGAAGAAGAACTGAAGTAGATTTCAACAAATTTCACACTTGTTACTCTTGAATCTTATGCCTGTGATAGGAAATTGCCATGTGTAGAAACAAATTTCATGTTGTTGTGTCATGTGGAACATTAAAAAATATGTATATAAAGGGGGCTAGAGGGATGGATCAGCAGTTAAGAGCGCTCGCTGTTCTTGTGGAGGACCTGGGTTGATTTCAGGAACCCACACCAGACAGCTCACTACTGTTGGTCGCTTCAGTTCTAGGGGTACCACCCTCTTCTAGCCTTGTGGACATGCACGTGCATGGAGTCCTTATACAGACAAAACCAGTGCACACACATACACATAAGTAAAAATAAGTATCATTTTTAAATGGAAGTATTAGGATTTCAGCACCCTCTTTAGGCAAAAACACGGTACATTCTACAAAAGCACATCTCAAAATGCATTAATAGAGTGTTCATGGGATATTAAAAGCTCACACAGGCAGAAAGATCTTCATGAGTTTGAGGTCAGTCTGGTTCACATAGTTAGTTTCAGGTAAGTTAGGGCCATATAGTGAGACTTTATCTAGACACGATTTCCTTAGGATGTTCTATTTTATAATACATACAGTAAAGAAAGCACAAGCCAAGAAGGACTTTTCTCCTTATCAGTTTAGGCATGGACACTGATGGGAAATTGGGTCTGTGTGAAGCGTGAAGCTGATATGTAGAGTAACATTTTTTTGGATGTAGGTGAGACCCAGAGAGCTTAATTTGAAGCACTTTCAAAGATAAATGTCACACGCAATGCCCACAGCGATCGAGTGATCAATACTGAAAACGTTGATTAGAAAGCATTTCTTATGCGCAATAAAGGCCCATGTCTGTCACCTTGGCTCCTTACAAAGTTTTAGGACTGGACTTTCGTATGACTTGGAAGGATTTGAAAGTTCCCATTTCGGTATTTAGACAAACTATTTATTAATAACAAAAATATATATAAAAAACCATCTTGTCAGCCAGCATTCCATTGGTGTAACAATATTAATCCCTGAGGTAAATGGGCATGCAAGTAGGAAAGGTTTATTTTGTCTGATGGCATCAGAGGTTTTAGTCCCTAATGCCTTACCCCATTGCCATCACAATGGGAACACACAGAATTGAGAGCCACTTGCTCATGACCAGAAAGCAAGTGACTGAGTCCCATCTTCATATCCCCTTCAAGGGCACACCACCAAGGACCTAACTTTTTCATGCTGGTTCCACCCTCTCAGAAGGCCAAGCCTGGGGCCACGCCTTTAGCACACAGGCCTTTGAAGAACACACGGGCCTTTGAAGGACATTTTCTATCCACACTCAAGCACACATGTTGGTGCTTGAATTATGTAACGTGTTTATCTATAAAGAAAGTAAGTAAAAGGTCGCCTCTGAATTTATGGTTTAGAATTCCAGCTTTATTTACTCTAAATGATGATTTAAAAAAAAAAATCTCAGTTTATCAACAGTCAGAAACCTGCCAGAGCCTGTAGCCTGAAAAACTGAGTAACACAGCCGATTGCCATAAATTTGCACTTACCAGTTTTCTCAGAAAACTCCCGAGTGGTCTTTCTGCCATTAGTGTGGAGGAAAGAGCTGTGCCGTCATTGGTTTCTGCTTTTGCCATGTGTGTGGCTGTGACAGACCCCAGGATGAATCAGTGTCTAGCACAGGTGAAAGACACAGAAAAGAAACCACAAAACAGTCTCTTCTCTTTATACTGAAAACACCAAGTTTACGGGAGAACATCCTGAACTCGAACCTTCAGCTTTAAATCTGTCCTTTTCCTGGTGGGACTCCTCTGGGCCTGCCCTGACAATTCCCCCCAGCTTTAACCAGCAGTGCTCTCCTAAACAAACGCACTGGGGATGGACACTTCTTTCCACTGCTGCCTTGGCCCAAGCAAGCATTTCAGTTTCCCTGACCCCTGCCCTGCAGCTTTATTTCCTGCTTCTGTTGAACCTACTGGATTTTATTCAACTCTTGGTTTCTAGCCGTGGAGTAGGGTGACTTCATTTTTGACTACCCCTCCCTTTGTCCCTCCGATATTTGCTGTCAGTGTAGCTGGGCGAGTAAATGAATACATCAAGTACTGGATGTTCATGAGGACTGCTGTAGCTGCAAAACCATCCTCATTATCTGCCCAGCTCCTCTTCTCCCCCAGCAGAGTCAGTTTTGCTGTTTAAACTTCTCTCGTAGACACTATCTAAATCTCTTTTATGGTTCTCTGTGCTCCTTACTGGACCTTCTCAAAATTAGAGAAAGGTGCGCATCCTGCCTCCAGGCAGATTTCAAAGGCAGGCTGAGACTGAAGTGCTTGTGGGGTCACCTTCACCCTGCCTTTGGAGCAATAGACAGCCTCCCTGTAAATACATTACCCTGACTAAAGAAGTCTCACGGCCAAGTGTAGTGGTACCTGCAATTCTAGTACTCGAGAGGCGAAGGCAAGAGGATCACAGGTTCAAGGTGAGCCTGGGATACACAGCCAGGCGGAGGGTAGCCTGGACTGCATAACAAGACCCTGGCTTTAAAGGGGACTGGAGTGCAGCTGGCGATTAGTGTGAAGGGTTTAGAATTAGAGTTTAGGAAAGTGGTTTCTCCAAAGTTAAATTTTCCGTGCGTTATTACTATGGCTCCCATTTTCCTTATCCTGTCCCCTGGCTGTCCTCTCTCCTCTCCATTATCTGATAAAACAATTTGCTCTTTGGAGCTTGATTCAGCCGATGGATGTGAACACTGAGTTAGAATACATTCACTCTTCTTGCTTATCTGTCCCCACCAGATGAAGGCAAAGCCGCCAAGGCTTGTCCAAGGGGTAAGATTCATGACACTTGAGCATTCTAATCTGCCCTCTGTGGGAGTAATAGGCTTCCGGAGAACAAGATCGTGTGTTGATGTCATGATGACTGTTAAGCCTAGGAGGACTCCAGAAGTCACGGAGTCACCACTGTGGCCACGAGGGATGATGCATGGCAAGCAGAACACCACCTTCTAAAAATAGCCGCCTTCTTCTGGTTCACTTACTCATTAGCTCCTGGTGGGCACGGATGGTGGTACATACCTGTAATCCCAAGTTCAAAATCCACCTGAGCTGGGTGGCAAGGCCCACTCTCAAAAAATAAAACAAAAGGACATCTGATATTAGCTCTGGGTGATCAGGAGACTCCAGGCTAAATTTCTCGTGGTTTGAGGACGAGCATAGAAAAACTCCTTTTTCACACATTGAACAAGGGTCTTCCAGAATGCTTTTCTCTCAGCCTGCCAAAATCAGATCTAAAATTCAAAATTTTAGGTCACTCCTGTTATTTAGTTCAAGACCCAGCTTTGCCCTGCAGTGTGTTTATAAATAGAGAGACTTTGGGCCTGACTTGGTGGAACAGGACTGTAATTTTACCTAATCTCAGGAGACTGAGGCAGGAGCATCACAAGTTCAAGGCCAGACTGGGAAACTTAGCAAGATTCTATCTCAAATTTAAAAAAATAATACTAAAGAAAAAAAAAGAGAGGGGGTTTGGGGGGCTGGGTCTATGCTTCAGAGGTCCAGTGCTTGCCTGGCATGCACAAGGGGGCCATTGCCCTAGCGGGAGGTGACACCGGTGGGAATTGCTACCACCTCTGAGGGCAGCAGGAGATGTGAATAAAACAGCATACACCCCACGTTTGTGCCCCACAGTGGTAGGTGACAGCTTCAGGAGCCTGACACCAGAATACGGGGTTGCAGGTCACAAGCAAACCTTTGTCTTAAAGACAGGGGAAGATGTTTTAAGTGCCTATTTTCTCCTTTATCCCTAGTTTCTATTCCTTAAACGCTCAGGGTGTGTGCTTTTTAATCTGAAGAACTCAGGCTCCCCAAATCATACCCCTTCCATGATCTCCATTAGAGCTTGTATTCATTCCAAGTTCTCTGCGCTAACAGCCAGGAACACGCTAAGGATGTGTCTAATCCCCAAAACTTTAGCATTTCCTACATCCACAATAGCACTATGTGATAGACTCCGGCATATTTGGTAATTGTACAGTTCATTCACTTGTTCAAACTGTCTTCTTCTGTGTATTAGCATAAACTCGTGAAGAGGGGCTTGTTGTGAGTGCCGCTTCCTAACATATCCTAGAACTCGAAAGAACAATTGCTAATCATTTTCTTAGCACGCCATAGGTGTAGGGGTGGGGGTGAGAGTGAGGGAGCGAGGGATTCTCACGGCGCTCAAACACTCCTGACAATTCTAGCCAGCAAAACTGACACAAAACACAATACACGCTTATGTTTCTGTGTTCCGTATCTACCTGGTGGTGATTAAATTCAGGATCTGCCTTTCGCTTGTCAGAGATGATATCGAAAAAGTATATTCCTTTTAAACAGCACTCAGTAAACTTGGGTATTTGAGAAATGGGTTTAGTATAGTTAATTCTCACTGAGTCTAATTAGCTAAGTTTCATGCATACAGTCATAAAAATGTAGATAAATGTAGAT